GCCACTTTCCATGTTTTGAGGGCAGGCAGCTTCAATGTGTCATTGGGGTCCTTTTTGCTTCACTGCTGCTCTGCTGGTTTTGATATCTACTGAAAATCAGCAGATCATGCCGCTGAGTTATACACAGCAAAATGCTGCTTATTGAGGCTRTGCAGTCAAAGTTCGTGTCTCACTCTTCCCTTTCTGCCAAGAAGTGATTATTTACACCTGTCTGACATTAAAGGGTCAGCAGGGGGGTATATCACGTCACAGAACCATCCGTGGTGCACGTGAGAGGACAGTCCACTCCTGCTGCTGTGAGTTCCGGAGAGGGTCACGTGGAGCTGGCAGGAGCTGGGTTCAGATGTTGTTCAGACAGCCAGGGGCTATTGTGGCTACAAAAAGTTTATGTGAGTCTGGAGAAGAGCTGGACATTCTCGTGAAGAGGCTTCACTGAGTGTTCTTCAAAGAATTGTAGAAGGGCTTGAGTTGGAAGGGATGCACARAGATCAGCAAGGTCCAGCTCCTGTCCTTGCACAGGACAATCCCAGCAGTCATACCCAGGGCACCCAGAAGTCCAAACTGACTTGGGGAGGCCCAGAAACACAAACCACTGGAGGTGGAAAAATGCATGRAGAAGTTTAGTATTCTTATTCTCTTCCTTCCCTTCCCAAATGTCCATGCACTGCTGCCRTTCCAAACTGGAGGTCAAGCTAGATGTGCACTATTCTTTGGTTCACCKCTTTGACTCCTGGAGGAGGCAACTTGAGGTGTTTCACCTCTGAATTGGATCATCAAATCCAGCTCCTGGCCCTGCACGGAGCACCCCAACAGTCCCACCCTGTGCGTGTGATGTTGTCCAAAAACTTTTGAGCTCTKGCAGCCTTGGGGCCATGCCTATTCCCTGGTCAGTGCCTCACCACCCTCTGGGGGAAGAACCTTTTCCAAAGTCCAGCCTAACCCTCTCTGGACAGTTTCAGCTTCATATGTTTAAAGGTTTATGCCAGAGCTGTCTGKCAGAGTTGAGGTGTCCTGAAGAGGCTTTACCACACACTGGATATGGTCTGCAGGGGCCTTATATTTTTCCATATGGGTGTGGAATGCTTTGGTTGAGAGTCTGCTCATGTGAACCTCCACTGATCCAGGACTGACAGGTTGCTTTTCAGGTAAGTCACTCGTTTCTAGAGAATTACACATCCTGTTTCCAGAGAATTGCACATCCTAGGCACTGCTAAGCCAAGTTCTCATTGTCTGAGCTTAGCACAAGTGCTGGAGCATCATGTTGGCTCTTGAGGTTGCATTCCATTATCTGATGCTGGTGGGAGCCTCTGTACTTTCTGTGCTGTGCTGGATGGTGTGAACACTTTGGAGTAGGGCAGTGTCCATTAGGTTGGAATTTTAATATTGTTCTCGTGCTTTCGTTTGGGAAGAGTACAAACACCTCACCCTAAAGATGAGAAGCTTTTTTAAAGTGTTACCCAGAGTTTTGTGYTGCTAACTGGTAATAAAATAATAATGAGCCGAAGTACAAAAGATCCAAAATCTGTCTGCGTACCAGCTTCCCAGGAGAACTGTGGAGGAGTGGATTTGTAGTGTCACCTTCCCTGCTGTGGCAGAAGCCACGTCCTCCTCAGGGAGTCAAGAAGTGACTGTGCTGTACCCCCACCTTGGAAGTGCTGCACCATGGAAGTCGCAGCTCCTGCTACTGCTACAGGCTGGCACGTGTTTCCCCARCCCCTGCAGGAGATTAAAGGGCTGGTTGTGTACTCTAGGTAGCAAATACCTATGATGCCTTCAAGCCATTAGTTTTTACTCTGGAACTGAAACTTCTCATCTGCTCCTTGCTTTGAAAAGCRATGGGGAAAACATCTAGCAAGGCTTAAAGCTTCTGGTGGTGCCTTGTTCTCTCACAGTGACAGCTCAGAGGTTTGGGGGGTCTGTGAGGCTTCTCTAGCCAGTCTAATGGCACTTCTGTGATTCTGTGATACTCAGATAATGGTTTAGGTTGGAAGGGACTTTAAAGCTCATCTTGTTCCAACCCCTGCCRTGGGTAGGGACACCTTTCACTAGACCAGAGCCCTGTCTATCCTGGTCTTGAATACTTCCAGGGATGGAGAGTCCACAGTCTCTCTGTCCCTGTGCCTTGCCTCGCTTACAAGAGTGATGAACTTCTTTCTAAAATGACCTTTGAGGGCCAGGTAATGTGCTCTTGTGGGCCGGGTGCTGGGAATAGACAGCTTTGCTGTGGTTCCGTTGGCTGATRCAGAGGGGCCTGTCCTGAATACAGGTGTGTGGGGCACATGCCCAGCTCCACACCCGCAAATGCTTCGTGTCCTCCTGCCTTTGGCACTCCCCAAAATGAGTAACTCTTCTTGCTGAAGTGCCTGGTACAAAGCAGAGCATTCTCAGGACGGGTCCTGCATGACTTCTTCACGGTCCTAAAGCGTCAAGGCCTGTTCAGCTCCTGGTGTGGGTCTCCAGGCCTGAGGCYGTGCCAGGACATGTCACAGGAAATGGCCTCGGTGTCTGGAGATGCTAATTAAGCACAAAAAGAGTTAATTATTTGTCAAGAGCTAGAAAAGGTCCCTCTTGCTATTCATAGTTTCATACTTCCTCTTTCATTGTTATTCTTTATTCTGCCTTAGTTTTCCCTTCACCCAGGGCCCTGTCCCTGGATTCTCCATAATGTCAGGTTTTGGGCAGTGAGGCTGGATGGAAAAGGAGGGGCTGGAGCTCATTACCACCATGAACTGCTGCTCCCACCCGGCTGCCCACATATTCTCACTTGCTAACCATTGCTTTCTGCTGCTGCCAGAGGTGCCTTTCTGCTCCATGCCATGCTTGCAGCTGAACGAGGTTCCTGCCTTCCCAGCCATGTTTAACATGGACGGGATTTCTGGGTGCATGGTCAGGGAAAGGATGGAGACCTTTCTCTGTGTTTTGAACCTCAAGTTCTCCCGAGATGCTGGAGTCCCATCTTTGTGAACGTGGGAGTTGTGTTTGTTGTATTTCAGGTCAAAAGCTCTCATAGAAAAGGCCTTGAATAAGGTAGGGATGGATTTTGTCACTTGGCCTTGCCAGTAGGAAGTCGCAGAGTCTGGCCAGCACTGGGATTTTCCCACATTAACTTTGATCCTCCGTAATGTGCCGGTCATCTTGTTCTTGGAGCAGAACATGAATAATGCCTAACCCCTGGTTCAAACATGAGATGGTTAGGATGACATGAGATGATTTATTTACCTTTATTCCTAAAGTGAATCATTGTACCATGGAGTGTGTTTTAGAGTCTTCTGTTTCACTTCCTTGTTTGGAGTCACCACCAAGGGACTGGTGGTATAAGGAAACTGAGTAAGTTTCTGGCCAATTAACCTCATTTGGAATTTTTGTGCACCRCTTTTTGGTTTTCTTTCTAAGTTTATGTGGGGCATGTTCCAAGTGGCAAAAGAGCAGAGCTGAAAGGGTGCTCAGCATTTAAATATGTATGGACTGTCATGTTAATGGGGTGCTCCAGTTCTTTCCCCRGGAGTGGATGACAAGTGACTAAATAAAGCTGCAGTCCCTCTTTTCCTGTGAATAGGTGCTTGTGTTTTCCCTTTCTTGTAGGTCTTGGTTTGGTACAAGTTTGGCTGGTTCTTCCATACTGCAGCCTCTGACCCGGTCAAATAACTTGGAATRACTTTAATGTCAAGTAGAACACAAGTTGACCTTAAATGCTTCACAATAAAATGAATATTGAGGGCTGCATTCAGGTCCCTCATGCCTTTTCATTTGAGAGGAATGGGTGTCACCGGTTGTACACTACAGCAGTGATGTGTGTTCCTCATGCTGGTGGTTGGCTTCGTTCTGGAGCTGGTGCTGTATAATTGTAGAGGAGGATTAATTTAATGATAGCTGTTGGGAACTCGTGGGGGCTTTTGAAGTCTGCTACAACATCACTGAGCAATCCTCCATGTTTCTTGAGGGCAGAAACCACAAACAACATCAGAAGAGGACGGATGTGACTTGGACTGGACTGACCACAAGTTCCTGAAAGGACAGGGCAGAGGTGGACACCAAATTCCCACATGCTTCAGTCAAAGTGGTGTCACTGAGYGGCACAGCCACAGTGGCTTTGGTCTGTCTTGCACTTCATGTTGGAGAGAGCAAAAACACCCTCTGCTTTATGATATTATTTTGGAACTTTTACCTTGCWGTAAGAGTTGGAGAAATAAGGATGAAGTGCTAACTTAGCTTGGAATRCCCATTGGGGAGCTGGTTGCTTGTAGCCTGTGTAAGAGAGTCTCCCATGGAGAGCCTTCTTTAGGTGACAGAGTTTCTCAGAACTTAAAGTTGCTTTTTAAAATTTTCATTTTTGTTAGAACTATCCATGTATTTTCTTGCAAAGGACGTTAGATGCCCAAGTTTTGAGTGTGGAACAGAACGGGCTGTCTGTGGTTGTCTGGGCAGAGTTACCCAGAAATAGTTTAATTTCAGTTTGGCTTGCACACCCCTGTTACAGTGCACCACCCCTCAGAAATTGCTGTTAGGGCCCTGTGCTCTGCAGGGTGTTTCTTAAAGACAAAAAATCACAAACAAACAAAAAAAACTCCTTGTGCTTCCTTCTGACCGAAGTACATGGAGCACARCAGGAGAGGGAGCCAGCCCAGGGATGCTGCGTCAAGGGCATTCTGGTTTGTGGACCTGTTTCCCAAGGTGTGGAAACACTATTTACCAAAAACCAAGCCTCAAATTACTGAATAGACAGAAACATCTATTTAACAAAACACTGTCTCCTGAACTAAATTTCACATTGTTCATTGCATGGAAAGCTATGAGTTTGCCCTGACACGGGGTAAGAAGAATGATTTTCCTGTGAGCGGTGGGGTTTGGCTCCGTTTCATCCCCCATACTTGGAAACTGCCATATCCAGCTGAAACCAAACAATGCCTTTTTTGTTTTTAAGTGGAGTGCAGTAAGATTGGAAGTCACTGGTGTGAATTGTTGCACAGAGACATCCTCAAACGTGCTTTCTTCCTTGCCAGGTTCAGTACAGATATGAGAGCCTGGCTGCTCTGGTGCTCCYGTGCCCCGGCACTCGCCGCCCTGTGATTTTGGAAAACAAGCCTAAGAAGCGAGTTACACATCCTGTGGTGAGTATCATGTGCCTTTGATATTCTGGACTGTCTTAGCTTGGAGCTCAAATTTACCTTCCTGAAACATCCAGACTCACCTGTGCTTTATAAGAGGCATCTCCCCTATGGAAACAGGAGAGCTGAGGCTGGAAACAGGAGAAGGGAAGGTTACATGGGCACCTCACAGCACCTTCCAGGATCTGAAGGGGCTACAGGGAAGCTGGAGAGGGACTGTTCTTGGAGAACTGTACTGACAGGACAGTTCAGTTGGGAAATGGAGAACTGTACTGACAGGACAGTTCAGAAGGGGAAATGACTTCAACCTGAAATAAGGGAAATTTAGGTTTAATACAAGGAAGAAATTCTACCCTGTGATGATGGTGAGGCTCTGGCACAGGTTGCCCAGAGCAGTTGAGGCTGTTCCATCCCTGCAAGTGTCCCAAGGCCAGGTTGGACATGGCTTGGAGCAACCTGGGATAGTGAAAGGTGTCCCTGCTCGGGGGATGGAACAAGCTGAGCTCTAAGGTCCCATCCAACCCAAATCATTCTGTGATTCTTGGTTTCTCTGAATAAGGCAAGACACTTCAACTCCAGTATCTTATCTGGATTATCACTGAAATGTCTGCCGAGCCTGTGGAARGATGCTTAGAGACCCAAATGCAAGTTGCTCAATTCTTATTCCTTATTTCCATTTTGATTTTTTTTTCCTCTCAGTTTTGTCAGCATTTTTCATCTGAAGTTACTTATCTGAGAACTTACATCCCTGATTTCCTTTCCCTGGCTTTATTTTTAGAAAGACACGTGTAGAGCTCAGAAGTAGGTAGCTGCAGTGCTGCTTGTCAGTGATGAATAGCTCCAACAAGGAAATTAGGCAGGATTAAAGGCAGGGAGCGTCCAGAGTCTTTTGTGGTGAACTGAGAGGAGAGCTGATGTGTTCTGTCTATAAGGGTTTGTGTAACAAATAAAATAAGGCCCAGTTTGCCTATTTTATAACAGCTGAGCTATGGAATGAGGAGAAAACTCAAAATTGAAGTTGTTGGGAAAATTTTCCTCTCCAGAAATCAAAAGGAATAGTATTTGTAGGTGAGAATGTTGGACTGATTCCAGCGGGGTAGACCCCTTGATTTCATGTGAATAAACCAGCAAACGTTCTGATTTGGTGAGAGTGGTGACCTTTAGGAGTGCAACTTCCCTTTCTGGATTTCTGAAAAAGCATTTCTATGGTGATAAGCTGTTTTTGCTGTGCAGACTAAGAGATCCTGATTAAGTCATTGGGGTGTTTTGTTTAGGGCCATAATTGTGCAGCATCATTTGGGAATATTATTTCTATTTTTGGCCAAAGTGATATGACAAAAAACATCTTTTAAAATTGTGATTTCCATTTAGAATTTTCTCTGTAGAAAATTTCATGAGCTTTTGCCTTTTGGTAATTTCAGCTGGGGGGGTGGAGAGGTGATGGATGGACCACAGTTTCATCCTCTCAGCAGCTTCCAGCCTGGAGGAGAAATCTGGTTCCAATTTTGCTTGATATTGTATCTCAAATTATTTTTGCAGCTTCATTCCTTAAAACCAATTKGTCTATTTTTGGTGACAGTAGTAGGAGTGTCATTAATTGTTGAAAAGTCTTTAGTTTGAGCAATTCAGGCTGGTGCAGTACAGTGCTTTAATATCTGCAATGAGCCCAGCAGAGGCTGTGTCATCTGCCTGGGCCTTTTTCCCCATTATTTTCTTCTCAAAGAGAAGCCCCTGCAGTCTAAAGCTTTGCTGTTGTGATCTTGTGGAGGGTTTCTTCTGGGACTGAAGTCACTGGCTTGTTTTTCTGTATCCTACCTGTAAGATGCCTGAGATCTTGGCAAGTTTTTTTGACTCAGATAAACCTATTTCCAAGAGCTTTGGGTTCATAGCCTGCTTTTTCAGTTGGGTGAAGCTCATTTCCTGTCCTGCCTCCTTTTATCTTTCTGTGTATTTTAATGTAATGTTCAAAGAAGCACTGGTTCTCCCGTTCCATGGTGCTCCTGTGAGCCAGCACTCTTGCCTCATGCCATTCCTTGTCTGTCTGTCCTCACCTGTGCTCCCTGCCTCCGGATCCCCAGGGTGCAGTGCCTGACTCYTTCCCAGCTCCGCTGAAACCAGTGCTGGGTGCCTCTCTCCACCTTTGTGCAGCGGAGCCGGGCGTTATCCCGTGAGCGAAGAGCTGGCTCTTGGCCCTGGTGACCTCAGTGTGCTTGGTCAGCCACATCCAGCCTGAGGAATTTGGCCTTGGGAGCAAATTTTTTTCCCTGGATGGCATAAATGAACAAGAGTAGCAGCAGTGCAGCCTCAAGCCGATGTCCAAAGCCATGGAGAGAGCAGTGAGGGCTCTAGGTGCCTCCTCTGTTCCCTGGCTGCATCCTGAGAGCAGCCCTGGTGATGTGTGGAAGCCAAAAGTTCTTTCTGTACGTGGAGCTTTCTAGTTGTATTAGTCATCCATCAGGCTTCTGGATTATTTAAGTGCTGAAGCTCTCCTCAAAGAACAGCAATRTCTATTTGTAGAAAGGTACATCATGTGAAGTGCAATTCCAGTATATTAGAGCTGCCTGCTGGAGATGTTTTTGGGAATGCTGCCCCTCCTTTTGTGGGACTTTGGGAGCTGGAGAACCCCCTTCAGAGATCTGGAATCCTGAAGGCTTCTGGGGATATGAATGGTGATACATTAGAGCTCCTCTCAACTTCTCCCACAAAACCACTCCTTCTGTTCAGCCCAGTGCAGCCTCAGCTTGTGGGGGTTGGTCTCCAGACTCTTAAAAACCCTGTGGAAAAAGTGATCTGTAGCACTGAGGGAAAATACTCTTCCATTAGGCATGGGAGAACTCCTGACTCAAATAGTTAAAAGACCAAAAACCTCTTCTCTAACTCTTGAACTTGTCCTGACTTGAACTAAGTCTGAATGTGCCTAGAGCTGAACTGGTCCATTTTTAAGCTGTAATTCATCTGTCTGTGCTGTTTGCAGAAAATCTTTAGGGCAGTTGCTAGCTACAGTGTTAATTCCGATACAGCACACTATGYCCTTGTAAACTTAGGGAAAACTGAAATGTTTATGGGTTTTGTAATGCACGTGAGTTCATTTCATTGTATTCTAACCCAAAAATTAAACGTGAGGTTTCGTGTAACGTTTTGGTATTCACAGACTGGCAAAACACTTGTCCTTGCTTATGCAGTCTGGCTTTTATGTAACTCATTATTTTTGCTCAAATGTTGCAGATAGTCGGTTTCCTCTAGCAACAGCCACCAGATGTTTCACTGAACAAGACTTAATTCTTTAAAATTGACCTGTGAGAAATGTGTGAAGGCGAACAGGGGGGCGGAACAATTGTATGTCAGCGTGATTTCCATTTCCTTGCTCAAATCCCACTGCAAGCCTTGCAGTTTGATTGCAGCAACGATGGATCCCGATTTTTGTGGTACGCTATGAGGCCTTTTCTGTGGTTTTTAGTGTTTCCATGAACGCGGTGTTGGGAGCAGGGGGATGGGATAAGGCTGCCTTACAACAATTAGTGTTATTTGTGCAATTAGCACTGTGTGGATTCATTCTGTGTGGTGGATGTGCCACCATGRATATGCAGGTGGGAGTCCTGCTGTCTGTAGGTGTTCTCTGATCACCCTTGTGCTTTGCTAGAGTGTTTTATGTTTCTCTATTTCCTATTTCCATGGGAAACCAACTCCTGTCTCTGTTTTCCAACTGGGGGAAGACAGTGACCCAGTGTTTTAGTGGGGAACATGGGCAATGGGGTCCTGCTCTGGTGGTCATTGCAAGAAGTTCACTGCAGCTCTTGTATCTGAAACATCCCCATTGTGGGCGTTTGTCCTGTCCATCCAGGGCCACTTTGTGTGGGAGACGATTGCTCAGGGATTCTTTGCTGGGAATGAATGATCAGCAGCCTGGCTTTTTGGGTCTTTTTTCTTGTCCAGGTCTGCAGACACTGCGTAAATCAAATCAGAGCTGTGCCGTTTCCCTTCCCACAAGGATATCTTGCTCCCATTGTGCTGCTTCTTGTGCAGTTTGGACATGGAGGTGTGCACTGGATAGATGATCTTCAGGAGGAAATGTACTGGTCTGTAACTGGGAGTGCTAGTGAGAGCCCTGAACTGGAGAAGTAAGGATTGAGTTGAGAAGTTCAGCTCTGCAGATGTTTTGAAGGTTTTGGAGTAGGTTTTTGGAGATGAAAGAATCTTTTGGTTTAGGCTAAAAGTGCTTCTGCTGGAAATAAGACTTTTCCAGGGCTGGAAATGCTTCAGGACACAGTTGGGCTGCTCCAGTCTTCAAAATTAGGGATTTTGGTTCGTGCTGGACTTTGTTTTGGTGATTTTTCGGAAGTCCTAGGTGTCTGTCACAAAATCTTGTTATCACTTAAGCCGGAGGTGACTTGAATGTCCTTTTTTTGTGGAAAGATGTGCAGCCAGTACTCACAGTAGCATCTTAAACTCCTTTCCCTTGTGCTGCTTCTGCCAGTTTTGAAATTCAGCATTTCCTGTCCTGGTTTCTCCTGGTGGGATGGTGGAGGGAGGCTGTGCTGCATCCTAGTGCTCCAGAAATGTGTGAGGGTGGAAGATGTTCTGCAGTTTGAGGGAAAACTGTTGCTACTTAACGCAGCTAATGTGTCAACATGACACAAAYGAGAGCCTTTATGTTCTGGCTTTGTCACACAGAGCTACAGAAGGTACCAAAGGGCAGGGGAAGCACAGCTCCTTAAGTTGGTGTGTTTATTGTGAGGTGTTAGAAGGATCATGAATGTCCAGCTGTCCCCAAGTTCCTTCTCTGTCCAGTTAATGCAGCAGCAGTGTGTGAGCCCTGCTCCTGCTGGGAAGGATRGTGGCATCTCCCTATGCCTTTCCTYGTGCTGGTTTTGAGGCTTCTTTTAATCTCTCAATAGGGTGAGAAGGCCCTGGCACAGGGTGCCCAGACCAGCTATGGCTGTCCCTGGATCCCTGGGAGTCTTCCAGGCCAGGCTGGACAGKGCTTGGAGCATCCTGGGACAGTA